GGGGGGGGGAAGGGGCGGGGGCTTGGCAAAGATGATGTTTCCTGGGTAAAAGGAGTAATCTCCTAGAGATGGGAGTGGCTTTGCCACCAACATTAGGCTAAGAGTCAATGCAAGCTTGTTGTTATCCCTGCTGATTTCAGGTCTGAATGGCTTTTCTGTTCTACTGTGGAGTGGCTAGATCCTGAGAAGAAACAGTCCCCATGACCATGTTATATTTTAAATACATTGTCTGTATAGTTTATTGCATGTCGATTTTATTTTCTAGGCAGACAGACAGATGAGGGATTCTGACCTGAGAGCCTGGTCCAGACTCATGCCAGTGAATACGAAGAATTTCAGATATTCCCCAGCCACCATCTTACTGAACTCATTACTGAAAAAGAGAGGGGGGGTGGGGGGGTGGAAAGAGTTTAACAGAGTAGAGCAAATGGAGAGACAAAAAAAGAGAGATGGGTAGAGATGGAGGGGAGTAGAGGAACGGAACACCTCTAGTGCACATAGGAACACAACAGAAGACACGAAGGTAGGGCTACAGAAAGTGTGATGGACGTGGACACACCCTACGATATCCTAATACTTTGACTGGCCATCGCAGGGATACAATCTGGAGTGTACTTTGCTCTCCTTCAGGAGCATTCTGTGTTATTCAGCATGTCTGAAAGCAACTCAGCTCAGTGTGAAGGCTGAGCCTGGGGTGTCCATGGAGCATCAATGTCTTTTAGATGAAGGTCATGGGACACACTCACTCAGGCTTCTGCTAAGGGCAGGCTGTCCTTGGGATTTGGGCTTTGGTGCAGCTGGCCCTTTGTGTGTGAGTGTCTTTTTTCTAACACTCTCCTTGTGCCATTCCCCAGAAACTTTTCTGCACCTAGGGCCACATTTTTGCCTGGGGTAGGCTGCTCTGTCTGTCTGACTGAAAGATTCCCTGGACGAACGGCCTTTTCTTATAATACCCACACGTACTTCTTCCCCAAGTGGCGGGCCACATCTGCCTTTTTAAACCCATCCAGGTTGTATAGCCTCTTGGCCAGGCGCTTGGCAGCCTCAAGGTCAGCTTTGTGCCCGTTGGACAGGGTGTCAGTGCTGCCCAGTGCCAGCTGCTCTGTGCTGTCCATCTCGGAGTCTGAGTCGGAGACCAGCTGACTCAGGGGATGGTCACTGCAAACAGAAACAAAGGCTTCCGGTAAGTCTTGCTACAAAACTTCTCCATTGCACCTTGTCATAGAAAGACATCTGGACTCCTGACCCCAAGCTCACCTCCTCTCTGAGATGAGAGCCAGCCACTTGGCTCTCTAGCATGCTATGGTTAGGAGTCCTGAAAGGTTTCAGTTCTAGACACAACTAGGCAATACTAGGGCATGGTACAGGCTGGAAGGGAGAGAAAGTGGGAGTAGATGACAAGACTGCTGCAATATTAACAGCAGCAGCAAGCTCCTGATGTTGGTCTTACTCTGTGCCCAAACTTGTGCAGTTGGGGGTCAGGCAGGCAAAGATGCAAACCACAGGGACCTATCCTGTAGTCTCTTTCACTGCAGTGGTATGCACATGAATATACACTGCTCTCCAGCTATGCCTGTGGCCAGAATGGTCTGCACACCCCCATCTCCACACACCTCACAAAACAGCAACCTTTAAGCAGGAAGGACATACAATTATGTACATACATTATGTCCACATGACCATACACCATTGCTCGTTGGAATAAGATCCTGTCCCTTCCAGCAGGAGAGCGGATGAGGACATGAGATGATACTAGGCTAGATCAGTCAGGGGAAATCAATCATCTCTGTCAGCGCTGCACTGTCTTTCCTGCTTTGTACTGTGGCTGTACCAGGAAGTACTGGGATCCCTTCGTCCTTGGATGGCCTAAGGGGAGTGAGGAACAATCCCAAAATACTGTGCACTCTCTGCCTGTGGGGATAGACTACCAAGCTCAGCAGAGGTGTGCCAGGGACATCAGTCCTCACCCCACATGCCCTCCTGCCAGGGCTGGGTCCAATCTCCAGCTCAGTGTAACAGGACCATGGACTGATGGCAGGATGGGCAATTCCCCTGAGCCCCAGCTAGAGAAACCACAGCAGTGTGTGCTTCCCAGTCCCTATAAGACTTCTGTTCCTTCTGCTGGGAGATGTTGACAGTGGGCAGCTCCTCCTTCCCCTCTCAGATGCAGGCCCTGCAAGCCACCGTCCAGCCCTTAATCATATTCCTCATTACTGCCTTGACACTGTCTGTACTGTTTCAGCTCTGATATTCTTTATGGCATCTGGAAATGCTGTACCCAGGCACAGGGCTGAAATCAGCTGCTGGTGACCCACAGCTGTGGGCTACTGTGTGTTCTCAAGTGTGTTTGGAAGGGAGCCACCACTTCCTTGTACTGACAGGAGCTGCTCCTTATTCCACATCCTCACCCTGCACTCATAGCCAACAAAGCATTGGCCATCCTTCTGAGCCCACAGAAGGGAAGTCCAAGTTGAGTCACAGGCTGACTGCAGGCTTTCAAACTACCAATATGCCACAGACACCATTTTAAATGCCTCAACCTTTTCTGTTGGGCAGAACAGACTCCTCACACTTCCTATTGAAATGGCAGCTTATAATCAAGACAAATATTATAATTTCCTTACTCAGCACTGTCCATTCATTGATCTCAAAGCACTTTCCACAGTGCTTATATCGCTATTTAACTGATGGCAAAACTGAAGCACAAAGAGGGAAGCACAGGGGATAGGGCCTGCATCCCCTGGCCCTCTGCTGAATTCAGTGTGCTCCATTTCCTACAATATTCTTTCAACAGCTTCACACCTTAAAGCCTCAGACCAGGGGGGACAAACTCAGACCAGAGTGACACAGGCCTAGTCCATGGGCTGGATCAGGCCCACAGATCCCCTACCCACATACCTGATCCAGGGCACATGGCAACACCCGAGGCTGGTCCAGGATGGAGGCCAGAATGGGTGCTGCAGGTGGCACAGCCCCAACTCAGCCCCAGCAAGCACCACAGGTGGTACACAACTCAGGCACTGAGCACAGGGCTGATCCAGTGCAACATGTGAATCAATGGGCAGCACCAGGGGCCAGATCATGTGGCTCTGCATGCTGTGTCTGATACTCCTGCTGTAGACCTATGGGGCCAATCTTTTTGACAGGCATTTCACAAATTCAGCACTGTGCCTTCCCAAGTGCCACTCTGATCCCCTTTTCCTGCCTGCTCTGCTATCTGTCTTCTCTCCAATCTGCTGCATGTCACATACACAAGCTGTTCATGCCACTTGAGGCACATGTGGCAGGTTGGCCACCCCTGCCTTAGACTGACATGCAAAAGCACCAGTCTAGATTTAGCCTCCAGATCTGACTGAGCTGCAGGAACAGAAGTTACCCCTCCTTTTCCTCCCAACAAAATGTATCTGGAGCTTAATCAGCAATGAACATCAAGCAACAGTGACCTCGTCCAGTTCTTCCAGCAGCCCTCACAGTGCCCCAGTCTGGTTTATTTTTGAGTCTCTAATTGATGTTTAAGAGGCCTGCTCTCCTGAGCCAGTTACAGAATCAAATCTCCTTGAGAATCTACTTCTTCCACTGAAGAGGAAGGCTCCAGCCTTCTCAGCACTCAGGTACTGCATGCTGCATGTGGTTGTGGAACCCCAGAGGTCAGCTATGGAACACCTGGGAGGGATCGAGTGATGGGGATGTACAAAATCTCTGGAGTGGTGCATGCAGGAGGACCTACAGACTGTCTTTACCACTTTGGAAACTCCTGGGTGGCATTTTCCCCATGCCTCCAAACACCCCACATTGATTTTGAACACTGTATCTTTGATTTTTGAGTTAATAGGCTAAATTCAGCTCTGCTGAAAGCAGGTAAGGAGCACTTGACTTGCCTAGGATCTAAATGGTATTCATTGCAGTGCACTCCATTTAGGCATGGAGCCTTAAAAAGGCCCCACGCTTACCTGGAGTGTGCACTTCATCTCCAATATAACCAATTAATGTTCCTTAAGTAGGCAACTCTGTCAGTGTTGGGCTATTAGCAGTCCTGAAACCAGTTCCTTTCATTTCCAAGATTTCTAATAAAAACCCTGAACTTATTGGAAGCCTTGAACATGAGGAGAGTGGATCAGTTTTTGGGGCTGCTAATGGTACAGCACTGCCTGCCCTGAGAACTTGAAGAGGGTTGTTTATAGCACTGGCAATGCTGTGATATTAGCAGACCCAAAACTGACTACCTCGCCTCATGTTCGAGGCTTCTAATAGCAGCCCTTTGACAGTTGTTTCCTCTTCACTATTTCTGGTGCAGTTAAGCAGAGTACAATTAGTTACAAAGTAGACAGTTACAGTTAGAGTTTCTATGCAGTTAACCAGAGTACAGCTCAATTACAAAGTAGACAGTGGAGCTGAAAAATGTATGCACTTAAGGGACCGGCAGATAGCTGGAGTTTGGTGTAATGTAAGCTCTAGGCAACAAATTGGGACTGGTGTTGTGTTACATGGGTTAGTGGATTATGCACCTACAAGTGGAGTGTACTGTACTTGTCTGTGATCAAAATAAGACAAAGAAAAAGTGTGGTAAAGAGCTTAGGGAGCAAGTCCAGGGACCTGAGAGCCCTGGGTTCCTGTTTCTGTCCTGCAACAGCCTTTCTGTATAAGCCTGACTATGTCACATAGGGTGATGAAAGAAGAGCAAGTGACCACCCACCAGCTTTCACGGCCTCTGTACACACAGGCACTGCTTTGGTTTCACAGCACCTTGTTAATGTGCCCTCACTCACTCTTCCCATTTGTAAAACTGGACTAGCAGCATCTCATCACATGCGGATGTTGTGATGATCAATTCATTAGAGACTAGGAGGTGCTAAGGTACTGTAACAGCACCTTAAGTAGCCATTTCTAATCTAAATTAGTCTGTTTCAGCCACAGGGGATGTCTTTCTTAGGCTCTGCTCCTGTCCCATTGTGAGGCAGGCTTCCAACTCTATCACTTGTGGGACTGCCCAGGGTGAACAGATTTTTGGACCAGGATACCTTCAGAACGCCACTTGAGCTGGACAAGGTTCTTTGGGTAAATGTGATATCTTTTATTAGACCTACTAAATAGTTGGAAGACTGTTCTTTGCAAGCTTTCAGGTACAAACACCCTTCTTCAGGTACAGGAAGAGTTTGCTGTTGCTTTGTGTGCTCTCCTGGGTGGAATGGAAGCCTTTAGCTGGAGCCTTTCCTGCATTCATCCCAGCCACACCCTGCAAAGGCAGATGCGTTTCAAATGCTTCCTACTATTCCAAAAATATATCAGCAGAACCCAAAAGCAAGCAGCTGGAAAACCATGTTTCAGCTTTTTCAGCACCAAAAGCTCTTTGTGTTCTCCTGATTCCCTTTCAGGTTGTATCCACCTGCTGCCTGCAAGATGCTCTGAAGTTACATACTGTTGGTTACCAAAATCTCCAGCACTAAACTCAGAGGCTACAACTTCTGCTAGGTTTCTCAAAATGACCTGGCTTCACAAGCTGTCTTCTTTCTATTTATAGCTGAAAATTCAATCTTGTGTGGATCTCTCTCTCTCTTTCAAAATTCCCATCTCCCTCCATGATCTGCCATCTGTCACTGACTGATAGTTGGGATTCTTTTTTTCCTTTTTTTGCATTGGCAGGCATGGATCAGATAGCTTGCTACTTAGTGCTATACACCATTGGCTATTACTCTACCCTCTACAGCATGCAACTCTGATGTCAGTCTTGAAATCAACAGAACATATCCATTTGATAGGACCTAATGTTTTCATGTACAAAATGAGCTCAATTGCATTGTTCATTCTTTTGAATAAACTGATTTTCTTCAAATATCAAAGCCACTATCATAACTTTAAATAGGGAGTCAGCTCTGATTTGACACAACAGAAAATGGAACAAGTGCACGTGTGTGCATGTGCAAGAGAGAGAGAGAGTGAGAGAGGACAAGAGAGAATCAAGGTGACACCTATTTCCTTGCTAATGATCTAACATTTAGAAGAGTCTTTAAAATGAACTTCTAAAGCAGCATTTCAGTTTGGCTTGAAGAACTATTGATAAAAGATTTTTGGTTAGACTTACTCGAATCAGACAACTGGCCTGCACTTAAAAATAAATCCTAAATTTAGTAGTGTATAAGCACCTGCCACATGCTGGAGGT